CATACTCTCTGATCTAACCCTTTCTCTGCATAGCTCATTATACATTACCTTGAAACTTACAAACCGGTTATGGTTGCTATCGATGTTGCAAACCCTCATCTTGCATTATTTACAAATTTAATTTTATAAGACATTATATAACACCCAACGTACCGTCTGTACTCTCTATAAAGTCGAGTTCAACGTCAACACCACAAACCCATATGTGCCGTCATATAATGCATTGACAGATCTGGCCCTATGCAGTTTGTTAAGACTAATCAGTAGAATAAACATTTGGGTTTATGCCTGCAGTTGGACTCGGCTTATAAACATGTACCTATGGTATAGATTTCAGTTAAATTCTGGCGAGTTTAGATTATCTCTAAAGACTGTGCTTCCATCAAGCGATTCATACTTGAGTTATTTGGAGCTTTTCGATCTATTAATGTGATTCCTTCAAAAGATTAATTCTCGAGTTTTGGGAAGCTTTTATTGATATGTAAAAGCTGCGAACCCTTTAAATGATTCATACTCGAGTTATTGGGAGCTATTAAAACTCTAAATACTGCGATCCATTAAAACGATTAGTTCTCAAGTTACTGGTGGGTTGGTATCTTTTAATGCTTTCTGAAGGCTGTTATTACTTCAACTCACACATATTCGAAAGCTCAAAGTTCGTTCCGACAGAAGAATCATCTAAACGAACTACAAATCTGTTTCCGCGTAAAATTAAGGTCACAGTGACTTTTATAATAGCAACGACAACACTAGGAGTAGCATGACATATTTATAACCATTTTAAATTACTTTCAATCCAGGATTGATGATGTATAAATTAAAATAAACAACTCGGATAATAAATCAGTGAATAGAAACTGTTACATGGTCTCTCGACATTTTAAATAATTTGAGACTATTGAGGTGCAAATATGACAATATTGTTATTCTTCTTTCTCTATTATTTGCCATGTACTTTTCTAAAACGTAGAGGTAAGCAAAACGCAATTTTACCATGTAAGGAAAACGTGATTTGCAATTATCATAAAAGCAATATATAAATACTCTAACAAACGGGTTCACTATAAGCCTGCCATTAATTTTCATCGCACACACTTGTACATAAGTAGAACAACCTCGCTCCAACCAAAGCTAACCACAAATATAACTTCATTGTCAGTAAAATGACATTAAAGCACGACAGTAAATTTTAAAAAGTATTTGGTGCAGTTTTTCACAAAAGTAAACAAGCTCCTTGCCGTAACTCTATGTGATTTTAACATCCCTGCACGCAGGTATCTTCTTTATTAATTTGTGCAAGGATGGTCGAGTGGTTTAAGACGTTCGCCTTTACACATCTCACCTCAGCACGCATGTATTTAAGTCTAGTCTCAACCAATGTGGGCATGTCAAATAAAGTGTACCAGAAGCTTCCCGTGGGTTTTCTCCTGTAAAGTTCAGACATAGGGCAAGGCGAACGAGGCAACCGCCTTGGGCCCCTCGCTTCTCCGCAATGCAACGTTTTTGCTTGGGGCCCCGCGCTCATTGTTTGCTGCCTTGGCCCCGCATGCTGCCCGCACATCCTAGGACCGGTCCTGGCTCGTGTTCTTCTTCCATGTACAGGTTATTATGTACTAAAATGGCTTTCAACCCCACCCAACCACTACTACCAAATCAGCTACGTACATGAAGAGTGAACCCAAATTTGTTGCCGATTTCGGTTACTCGGTACAACAAAGTTTTGGTTTTAGCATTTCGTATAATCTTAAAGAAAATGCAATACAATAGCTTGTTTGTTTGCAAAATATGCAAACAATTAAACGACAGATATTAGAGATGAAAGAAAATGAAGCCGATGCCATTCGATCTAATAATTATATATTGTCCGCTTTTTTTGTTGCTACATTAAATTATTATATTTACTTTTCAATACATTTAAAATTGAACAGCGCGTTATGGCCCATTATTCAACTTAAAGTGTATCGAGTGCATTTCCTATTTGGGTGAGAACAATACTCCTCAGTGAAGCAGCAAATCTGGTCGAGTTTGTACTGTGCACTTACTATGATAAAAATGAAAGAAAGGCTGGCGGTATTTATTATGCAATATTTAAAGGTAATTAATTAGACAGGTATAAAAGCATAAACCTTTTGGACAATAGATAGTGTTGGAATGAAATGATTTTAATTTGAGCAGAATTTATTTTATGTAGGTGGAGATTAGATGATGTATGCGTAATAAAAAATATCATCGATATTAAGTATGTATTGTATTCGGTTAAATGACAGAAATCATAAAGCAAAATAATGACGCTATGCTTTTGAAGCCATAACCAGTGACGGGATTTCACTGCATTTCATAACGATAGTGTAGAAAGGTATAACCTAAAGTTCAGAAAATAATACGGGTGTCGGAGTGAGTGAGAATTTTTATGTTATTAATAGTTGATAAAGAAATAATTTGTTTAAGTTTATGGCTGAGAAAAGAGCGAATGAAAAAGAAATGATAGATTGCAAGAATGACTATCAAAATAATTTTCTTCTGCAAATTATCTTCCATCAATGAAATAAATATATGTAAATATAATAGAAGTTAGCAATATCTTAAATTTAAGATTAATAGCGGAATTTTTCACTAATGTTCACTTGTTCTTATCACAGTGGATAGAAACATAATAAAACGCAAGTAATTTCTTGCTAAGACATTTATCTTGTTTGCTTTTCACTTGATAAAGTGTAATTATCAATTTAAATCTGATTAACGTTTCGTTTATGCTACATTCACAGCATCACGACCCGAGCATATTACCAGATAAAGAACCAACCACCATGCACGTAAAAACGAGATAATAAAACAATTATTTACACATTGGCATTTGCAGTAAGCTATCAAAAACTCCGTCGTATGAAATGTCTTGTTCCCGACGGCTAAGAACGGGCGGGTTGGAGAGAATAGGAGATTCAATTGACTTTATCGAATTCGTGACAGGAAGGGTTAGTCGGAATAATCTCTGTCTTTTCCGTAAAACGAGAAGAAAACTTAGACACCATTCATCAATATAATCGGAACTACTAATATTCACATAAAACAATATTGCGTCTGAAGGAAACAAAGCGATATTTTGGATTTTTGCCGGCCTTTCTGTCGTAACATATGTGATACAGTCCGCATGAAGTGCTTATTACATATGAGGTAATTTCTAGACTTGACGGAAATGTCTGGGTGATGTTCCGCTCGAGGTCAATCCTTTCTTCAATTTTTTTTTAAAATCCCGATAGCTCCGTGCGGACCACATCTGCTATTTTCGAAACATGTGATTGACCGAGAACCAGGAATGTATGGAACTATTTTTTTTATTCGTACTTCGTGGTCAATCTAACAGTTAATCGAGTCGCTGAAATAGCCAAGGAGGTTCGAATAGACTGAAGTTTCTTTTTTAGTGCCAGTTTTATGTCAATTACTACGCTGACCTTCATCTGATAAATATATTAATCTCTCGGAAAAAGCCGAGGTAGTTCCAGATGGAACGTAAGTTTGAATGCTCCTTGCCTATTGGGTAAAACACTTTATTTCAATATATTCAACATGATATAACCATTATATAACCATTACGTTGCTGTAACGTAAATATAACAAAATGATAACTAACGTAACTAACGCATGTCGAGTTCCAAACTAAGACGTAGCTATGTTTTCGTAACACAGAAATCATTGTAATACTATCAAACATGTGTATAAAGTACCATTTTCTTTTATTTAAGTAAAGAAATACCTTCTGTTATCAGGAAAATTATACGCATGTTGTAGCAAACGTCTTTTATACATACTGGAACATTTATTTGTATAGAAGGATACCTATATCAGACTATAATAAAATACAACATGAGAGATATAGCGGTTACCTTGCATCAGCTAGTGCATAATAATTATTTCACCTGTTTCTGTTCAAGAAACTATCGTAATATCAGGTTACTTTGATGTAAGGTGGATATCTGTAGTGGGCATATGAAAATTTAAATTTAATCCCCTTCCACAAAACCTCTTGTCTAAAAAAGGCTTGATACAGTAAAATTGTATTAGATGGTCAGGACCAAATATATCGCAAGTTTTCTTGATTCTGTTACGAATGCTAACTATTTTGAGTTTTAACCCGCACGATGACTAAGTGGATTGAGAGCAGCGAATCGATATATATCAAAATGTCAATTGATGTCAAAACTGCACTGAACACATGTCAGTAAATCCCACAAACACAACTAGAGGGTTGTATCAATTATAACAGAATGACAGCTGTCCGATTTAAAGGCAGATTTGTTACGCGATGAAGGGAAACTAATAACCAGTCGAAGGTGAAAGATATATATATATATATATATATATATATATATATATATATATATATATATATATATATATATATATACTCAATTTTACTAATACTACAGCAGATTATAATAAGAAAAAATCCTAAAGAAAGAGAAATGTTACAGAACTCACAATTTAACGATGGATTAAAGTAAGATCGTATCTTGTTATTTGTTGCTGCGTTTTGTTCCCATCTATTGCTTTTAATTCATGTAAGACAGAAAAGAACATTGGCAATTACTCATTTTCTCTACCAGGGGGGCTTCGTGGCAAAAAATATTAAAAATGGATTTCAGCAAGGAATCAATGTCTCCTTGAAAGAGTTCTTGCAAAAATCAAGCTATTAGGCAGACAGATGTATATCACTGTACCTGGATACTACAGGTACAATACTTTGTGTACCTCTGTGTGTGTGTGTCTGTGTGTGTGTGTTGTGATTGGATATTGACGTAGCTTTAATAATTTGTCAGTCATATTATTACGATGTCTGCAGTGTGGTAGTTTATGGTGATGTCTAGTACTGAGGCATCATGCAGTAGACATGTAGAATGATGTCACATTAATCTGATATCAGGCCGACCAGTCCTAACACTAACCTCTTAATACTGAGCTCCTAGCGAGTCAGTTGTTAGTACAATTTTTAAAGGTTTTTGGTATGACTCGGCGTGGTTCGAACCTGCGACCTCCCGCATCCGAGGCGAACATTCTAACCACTACGCCACAGGAGCAGTTCGGAATAATTTGTTAACCTTTTTCTTACAGAAGACTATGACGCAACTCTGAAAGTGCATAGAATAACTGTCAGATTACAATCTTGTGCATATTTTACACTTTCTAGATAAAATCTACTTTATTCAGGTAATTACCCTCTATATTCGTTTATAGCTCGATTCCAACTGCAAACTACACAGACCATATCTGTGTTCGTGCAGTATGTTAGGAATAATCAGTACAACAAACACATTATGGAACGACATATTAGGGTATATGTTGTTTGGGGTTGGACGTAACTTATAAGCAAATATAACTGACTTATTAATAATTAGCCAAATCAGGCTAATGACATCACTAATAATGTAAGTTTGAGATTTCTAATTAGAATTAGTTGCATGTAAATTTCAACGTCAGAATTGCATCCTGCGAGACAATAAATTTGTTAAATGTATGAATTCTAATGTATATATTGCACCAACAGCAAGAATGAATAATTTATAGCCCGTAAGATACATATCAAATAGAAAGAGTTTTCTTCCATTGCTATAACAGACATATTAAATTTCGTGTAATGTAATGCAATTACAGAATTAGGCACGGAACGGCAAATATGTGTTCTAGTTATATCTACATGACTAACTAATAATTAATATTGATGATTAGTACTATAAATGGAATTAATGACCTACTCCATTCCGAATTGTAACTCAGTTATAATTATTATTTATGTGAAACTACAAGGTACATCCAAGCCGAGTTTTGTTATGTCACGTTAAACTGGATTTTTTATATCCTCACACATACACATACACACACACACCCACGAGCGCACACACGCATGTAGTTTCTATTTCACGAATTATGCACAATTATATTGATGAAGAAGTTTTAATTGCAAAAATGAAGTTGATGACATTGTCTTAAACGCTGGCAAAGAAAGAATGTACATTTTAAATTCATACAAAATTATTATTCTTTCATGAGTAGTGGTGGTGGATGTGATCAGTCTAACACCATAATATTATTTTAAAGAACGACCAATACATAAATATGAAAACTACTCCATCTGGCTATAGTAAAGGATACTGAAACATTTGCCTTTTGAAGGCTTAAAAATATCTGGATTTTTTTCTGCGTGTTGTTTTCCTACTTGTAAATCGTCACCAACTCAAACAGTTAGCAGCAAGATTTAACATTAATATATACCAGTGGGTAGACTGTAACAGCTGTAAGTGGATAGACTGTGACATTAAAGATCTAAGATTTATCACAGTTCCTATTGAATATTTTGTTTCAATAAACAATGAACTGAGTGTACTTGAAAATTGTTATTGATGTTCAAAATGATCAGTTTACAAGTGTCTGTTTACATTAAGATTTATTATCAAAGCTGAAATGTTTTTATAAATTTTTTTTCGAGAAGCAGTACATGATTGCTGAAAAATTTATTTACCTTTGTGTTAAATGCAGTTTGATTTGCTTTCCATCAACAAAAGACATATAATGTTTGTTTCTTAATATCCACATTTCTACCTGTGATATAAATGTTTGCTGTCGCCATGCCATTAAAAGTTTTGAAGGAGCTGTCACTTGGATACCACAGAATAATAATTGTCACTTCATTCCTATCCATCCCTTATCCTGCTGAAGTTCCCTCAATAGTCCAAGTTTTCGAGAGCACATATCTTTTGAAGGAATCGGTTTGTACCGGTATAAAATGGTTCCAAAATTGGGATCACCATGGCTTATAACTGCTGTGAAAAATCTCAACAAAACGTTGGCCACTTTGTTATTATTATCTTAAAAGTCTTGACATGGACTGATGCTTAGACATATTTAGATAACTATTTATACCTACTATGTGACCATTTGGTTATATCTATATTGTGACAACATGGTTAATTCTATAGTGTGACTATTCAGAATTGAGACGTGTCACAGTAATCATACAAAATCCGTTCCCGTACTTTTATCAAATGTGGTTTTTTACGATATATTTATTCAAGTAATTGAGCTTTGAGTACAGCTAAGAGTAGTTAGGATTAAACGTCTCTTAGGTGATGTTGGAATAGGGTAGCGAAGTCTTGACTCCATGTGGATGATAACAATAGACGTCGTACACAATTCCAAATATAAACGTCTGTAATTTGAGAGATGATTTTGAAACCAAAATCTAAATTTATCTAAACAGATTGAGGTTGCTTTAATTGATATCGTAATGTTCCAGCCACTGACCCTCTTCCCCAGAAGTTATTCATCCGCAATCCCTGCATAGGCAATTGTTATATCCGGGAATCCGAATGACAAGATTATTTAAGTCTATTTCAGAATGTAAAAGTTACATACCTGTTCTAGAATATCTCTTGTACACCATCAGATTCCATAATACAAAATTCCGTCTTTATCAGCACTTTTCATCCAAAAATATTTCCAGAGAATTTTCCCTTGTATCTGATTCGTGTTAAAACTTACCTTGGAAGGTGCAGTTCATTGGTTTAAAATGAATAATCATTCTTGGCCACAAACATATCCATAATACCAGATAACCGTAATTAATACTGATATATCTTTAGTGTTGTAAAAGCATCTTTGAGTTATGGACGGACCATTACTTCTGAGTAAGACGTAACTTGAAACGTGAACAGTGGAACGATTGAAAGCTATCATAATCAATAAGTCTCTTTTAAGTTAAACTGGTTACATAAACTGGTTAATGCATGTTTGTGATTTCAAGATGACCAGATGATAATTGGGTGTGGAAGCAGACATGTGACTGGACATGACAAACCCCAGAATATGTAAATTTTCTTCGAAATATTAGAATATTATATTTCTGGTTTTGTACCCAAAAGCACTTTTAATTGTACAACAGGGGTCAAAGAAACATGCAAATTGTTGATGTAGAGAATACCGCAACAATGTTAAAATCCTGCTATTGACTAGAAAATGGACATTTAAAGAGGTAATGGAAAAGTAAATGATACAAAAGGTGAACTTAACGGTTATTTGATCTACTGGAAGACGAATCACACAAATTAATGATCGTTACACTTTACTCAAGATTTTAGAAGCTTTTGGTTTTCAGTTTCCATGTGCGAGATTGAGTGGTTTCCTGTCTGAAGTCGTCCGTTTTCATCATAATTCCGGTTTTCGTGTCCTTCAAAACCACTTCAGGCAAACATAAAAGCTATCGAGTGTCCTTGTCAAAACAACGTGGAACTAATATAGTATAATTTTTTCCATCGATCCATTCTTTATTCAACTATAAACACCGCAATGTGAACCCTCATTAAATATTTACCGAGAACTTTACACAGGACCCTGTTTTCCTGCCAACAAAATCACATAAAGAACGGCACCTCCTCTATGGCGCCGGCAATTCTTTGTAACGAATTTGTACAGTATGATTCAATCATTCACATCCGAAAATGGCGTTTAAGGCCCTGCTTGGAGACAACTATAGAATCGGCTTGCACATAACAGCACCAAAATGACAGACGTGCATCCGTTGAAAAGGCTGTAATGACATTCAAAGCAAGGGCTTGTGTTTTATTTGTTTTTTATTTGTTAGGGTTGTTAGGGGTCCTTTAACCGCCTTTACCGATATTCATATCTCACCTTTGTCCGCGTTGGTTCTAATCTAGGTTCAACCAACGTGGTTGTGTGAAAAAGCTTGCAGATGGTTTCCTGTCAGTCGGTACTTTTTACCGGGGTCTTCCTCCACCAAATAGGCTGGCCACCATTTAGAGACTATTGTGTACTGAAAACTGGCGTTACGTCACACAGAACCCAAGGCTATAGTTTTGTTGATGTTTTGTTTTAATAACCCCTGTATGATAGCGTGCATTTGCGTGTATTTATCTTAAAAATAAAACAGTTGCAATAATTTCGAAAGCCAGGGGAATGTTACGTCAATACAGTATCATATCATATGCCTGTTAAAATCGTTTATCATCTGAATAAACTTTGCAAATATGTATGTATGTATGTATGTATGTATGTATGTATGTATGTATGTATGTATGTATGTATGTATGTATGTATGTATGTATGTATGTATGTATGTATGTATGTATGTATGTATGTATGTATGTATGTATGTATGTATGTACTTATGTAGGGGTTAATTTGTGTGTTTAACTTAACCGAAACTTTGAACCAGACAATTGGGCGAAAGTAGGAGTAGCGCAGTCGTACTGCACGTGCTGGTGGTACCTAAAGAGACAGCACGTGTTTCATCTAGGTAGCTAATACCGTTTTGTTGAATTGTACTGAATTAACATCCCTACCAATTTTCTACCCAAGAATGAGCCACAATTTTGCCGTCAAATCTCAAAAGTAGGAAAACGAAACTGGCGTTTATTGATCGCGTTTTACCGTACTCTCAAACAAGACGTAATGTCTTTTACCTTCAGCTGGATTAAGGGGTCACAGCAGGCAAGTGCTCTGTCCCTATTGATGTCCACCCCAACCGGTTGTTTTGTAATAAATTAAATGTTCTTAAATAAACCATCTAAACGGTCTAATTCTTAACCTGAAATAATTATAATAACGCTATCATCCTAGTATCGGATAGAAATTTTGATATTCTTCTGGCGAAAATCTTCAGTGATGCAAAATTGGAGAACTGAACACATAGCTGTAAATTACATATATGGGTCTGCTGCCCATATGCACCAAAGAACTATCGTTATTAACAATGATAGCAGTAAAACAATTAGCATCTGTTTGTTACATGCTGTATCGAGCGACTTTAAACATTAACTGCCTCCTTAATTGATTTGGCATCCGTTAACTAGGGAATGACCTTCCACGGTGTTATTGCCCAGTGTGAACGGATATATGGAACGTTAACAGATAGCTGAGTAACTTAGGGTTAGAAGAAAGAAAAAGAAAACAACTACGAGCCCCCTTTACCAATATATAAAATAAATTTAATCCATTAATGCATAACCAAAATTTCATTTTCAATCCAAACATATGTACGAGCAATGAATTTAATCAAATAATACAT